CCCATCAATTCATTAGAGTGTGTGGTGGGCATTATTGTTGATAATGTTATTTATGGGGGTTAGGTTATTAGTCACTTGTGATGAATTTATTGTAGAAGTTTCATGAATAATTTCAAGGGCTATGATTCTATTGCGTGTTAAGACTGGAATGATGATGTGTATAGAGAGGACTGGAAGTAGATATATTTTTTTTATTACATGTTAGAATAAAGGCGGCTAGATGTATGTGCTTGCAAAGGAGATTTTTATATAAAATTTTATTTTATTTTATTTTAATTTATATGTTAATTTCATTTAGGAATAATAATCTCACGTTTTTAATATGATTTATAGTATTTTATTTATAATAATTTATTTAATATGTAGTGCTCCATGATGAGATACAATTTTATTTTTATAAGTTGTATGATGTAAACTATTTTTTTATGTAAGATAAATAAAATAATATATTTAGTGCATGAAATTTAGTTTTATTGATTGAGGGTGTTAATTAGGAGAAATGATTAGCAGACAACTGTCCAGATGGGTTGTCGTGCGATCTACGGCAGCGTGCTTCGTCTGAATCGTCTTTCGGAAGTACGATCAGCCACATGTAATAATTTGTCGTTAATTAGAGGGGTTGATGAGATATATCCTTAGCTCAACTTATGATGCACTAATATTAGTATGTGAATATAAGGGCAATACAATGAATGTGTGACAGGATGCAATAGAAGACACATTATTGAATGTATAGTAGGTGAACACGTGTTCAAAGCATTTAAAAAAGAGATTTTTATATATATACCAATCAATTCTTATCCATTTTCATATCTAAAAGTTAAACTTTGAGTTTTATATTCACACCACTCAAATATTTCATATCACATAAAAAAAACGATTTTTTTTTTGAGAAATTTGAGCGAATTGAATCGCAAACGTATGCACATCAAATAAGCATGAACTTCAACCGAGAAACCCGACCTCTTGGTTGAAAGACAAAATGCTCAGCCAACAAGCTAGGGTGGCTAGTAATATAAATACCTCTCTTTTAACTTTTAAAAAGTAAATCATATATTTCCTTGCATCAGTAAAATGAAATATACGTAAAAAATTGAATTTAGGTGTAAGAAAGTGAAAATAAATTTGACTTATGCATGAAAAAAATATATTTTACTTAAAAAAAAGTCAAAATAATGATATTTTTTTATGTTATATTAAAGGTTGGAGTAGTATAAATGTAAAAAGTAAAATTTAGATTGTTCACCTTATTACTTAAGTGTTAGTATATATTTATTTACCATAACATGCAAATTGACATATTGTGCAAAATCAACTAATTATTAGGGGCTATACATCATTTGCACAACAACCTGATAAATGGCTTCTTGATAGTGTTATCCGGTAGGGTGTGGACATTAGTCCCCTGCAAGGAATTTATTGTATAAGCTATAGAAAATTCTACTGCGTGCATGCAAGGCAAGAGAATGAATGCTGATATGACACATGCCGTGGGATCTTCTCAATTTTCAACTAAAGGCTACTTGCATGTGCACACTGGCGCTGTAGTTTTTATTCTTAAATGCAAGTCTCCCTCTCTGTATATATA